ACACGTGATATCGAAATGGGCGAAATCGCCTCTTGATATCACTAACTATCTTGAATCTTGAATATAATTTTTCTTGAAGTTGGCAACAGGCGCATGCATTCTTTTATACATGAGAAGAATGAGGAACAACCATGATTTTCAGCCATGACTCAATGAGCCAAACTTTTCAGCTCGTGAGCAATATTTCAAAACTGTTTATCATTAGACCTCGGGATGATGTTACATCTTTTGTTCCTACACTCTAATGCGACTAAATTCATTTTCCAAACCCTTGTTTCAATTTACAAATTCAAGACATGTAGTGCAGCATTCCGAATTGTCAACCTGGGCAAATGGCCTCCACGATCTCCAGATTTTTGCCCTGTGATTTTTTTTCTGGGGCTACTTAAAAGGCATTGTTTACAAGGACTAGCCAACAGATCTAAACAACTTGAAAGAGAATATCTCTCGTGCCATATGCCAGAAAAATTATGGAATTCTCATGGATGTCATCATGCCAACAATGCAATTGCCAGAGCTCAGAAATGTCTGGAAATCGGCGGTCGACACATTGAACCAATTTGTCGAGTAAATTCCTCATGTTTATGATTTTGAATTCCTAGAATGCTCTATTATTCAATCAATACCGTGATAACTTCAAGAAGTTGTTGCAATAAGATCGAACGCAAAATTTTCCTTGAATCGTTGTCTGAATTTATTCTCCATTCATAAGAATACAAAATAATAATAATAAAACACCAGATTTAGGAAATTAATTTTCGGTCGTGCCAAAGTGAAAAAAGAAAAGATCTAACACACTATTCCGAGGTCGGTACGTTGTCAGTCTACAAAAGTTAAAAAAAAATGGCTACTTCATGGTCTATAATAAAAAAGTTGCCTATAGGTAGTCACTTTATGGACACCCTGTATAAAAGAAACCTAAACAAAAAAAGCTGCCGTTTGTAAATCGTAAGCCTACGTGAATAGTCCCGGAGGACTTGATAGTGTCATCCATGGTTCGCACGTCTACATCACTTGGGAGGAGAATACAACCTAGAGGATGCCAAATAAGGCGTTTCAAGAGTACGCCCGGCAACCTTGTCTACGCTACGATTCATCATTTGCATACCTCAATGCCTCCAGTAAACGGCTAAAGTTTGGTGGCTGTAGCATCGCTCGTTCTAGATGTTCTTATGTTATTGCCGGCAGTATATATTGTGATCACCAATGGCTTGCGCAATCTGAACATGATGCCCTTTCCCGGTGACGCAAGCCCGAAGCTCCATCCGTTACGGCCTAGTGCTTCCGGAGATCGGAAATGCGTCGTTGGGATCTCATTCTGGCGACCGAGCATACAAACTGACAGAGCAAAAACTACAAATGCTATTTTCATGAATAAGATACCGTTACACTCGTCTGCAGGACTAAGAGGGGAAGTGACCAGACTCGAGGTGATAAGACTTAGGTTATGCCGACAATAGAGAGAAGTAGCGTGTTCGTTTTACACAGGTGAGGGATCGTAGAAGGTACCCCTAAACACGACAGAAACGTCTTCAATTCTTTCGTTCCCTTCCTTTTCTCCTTTGGAATTGACTCCTCAAAAGTTATTTCTGATTCCGAGCAGGAATTGAGGGGTGTTCGTCATGAATGGCTGACAATTCCGCTGAATTTACTTTAGCAAAATAGGGAAAGCGGATGGGAAAAGAAGTTCAGCCAATATCAGATCTATTTACAGGAACCGAAGCTAACACAAAATCACCCGAGAATAAGAAGTTTCCTCACGCTAGCAGAGTTCCCAATGGCTCACCACATTCCAAGTCTCTACCAGGGCCTCTACTCAGGCAGAACGATGGGATTCGCGTAACTCATGTATTACGTAATTGGCGAGGGAGAGAGAGAGACATCAACGGCAGGACTCACCAGGAGTGTGTAAGACATTATCCAAACGGGCGTATCGAAAAGACTATACTGGGTGGCGATGCGACACCAAAAAACCGGACTGTGCATCCCAAAAGCGAGAGGATCAGAAAGTAAAAGTAAAAAGAGAGAGTGTATGGATATCGTGACGTAAGCATGGGAAGTGGGAAGCTCTTCCCTTTTCAATCGTTATATGTAGCAGACGCAAGGAGGACTCCACACGTATGTTACAGGGGAGTGCTTTTTGGGTTTTCGAGTTACTGATCTAATACTAAAAATGATAAATAAAAGTATTCCCTGGCCAAAACATAAGTCTGACCTAGATTGAAAACTATTTAGCCCATATTGGAAATTGAGGTGACAATGGATTCGTTTGGTTGCAGGGGTGTGTCTTTCCTGGGTTCGATCGCTCATCTAGTACTGTAAATACTGAAAGTACGTACTTCTAACAAAAACCGTTCATCCGATTGTTGACAGATGAAAGTACCGTACCAATAGAGTCGTCTTGACGCAGAGCAGGGTCATTTTACTCCATCACGTAAAAATGCCGCGATTTCGATAGATTGCATCCCACCTACTGTGGCGGAAGTGGAAATAACTTAATCCCCACTTCAGTCACAGATTTAGTCAGGGACAGTTATATTGAGACAACAGATGTCGCTAAAGTGACATGTGACGCTATTCAGAAGGGGGGGGGGGGAGGAAGGTGCAATTAATCGAAAATCACAGTATAATGATATGGTACTGCAAGTTCTGAAAAAGTAATTAGAATTCAAAACATGCGGTCTGAGCTAAAGCAGAAACTTCTGGACAGAGTTCGACAAATGGACCCCGTCTCGCTCTGGGAGCGTGTGCACTTCGCATTTGAGAATTTCAGATTCCGTTCTTGTACTGATATTGCTGAAATCCACTTACTATTTAAAATGCTTAAACCGAACTGTAAAAAAAAAACTTGGTTGCATCGTGAAAAATGGTAATTAAAGGACTTCCCCGGTGGTGGGGGGAGTACTTTATGGGTCTTAAGCAGAGCCGTACCGAGGATATTTGACGCCCTGTACGAGATATCCCGCCCCCCCTCCCCCCCATGCTAGATAACAATCCAGCGCTCTCCCCCCTTCCATGCCTCTCCAGCTTCCCCAGCACCAACAATACATTACGTATTAAATTCTATGCATAATTTAGTTATATTCAGGACGATTTGCAATTGTTAAAAAGTTGTATTCTTATTTTGTAATGATTTGGATGCCAATCGGCGCCCCCTCAAGTCGACGCCCTGTGCTGGCGCACCGCTCGCACCCCCCTCGGTACGGCTGTAGTGAAGCTGTACAGAAAGCACTCAAGAGTACCAAAATGTTTGTTAAGGTGATCCAACAGATGTATTCAATAAGTGTGAAAAGATGCAAGCAGCTACTAATTTGTGCATAATCGAACTTTGTTCAATAATGCCTCATCATTAATTGCTTGGTTGAACCTTCTACAAACAGATGGCGATCTTGTCGCCAGGACAACATGGGCAACACGCATGAGCCACGTGCTCTTCCTGTGCGCGAACTCTTCTAGCTGCGAAACAAAGATGCAGTAGAAAAGTTACGATAAGCTTATGCTTAGATCTATTCGAGGTTTTAGAATAATATTTCACACCATAACTTCATTTTAGTTTTAGGTACTGTCTATTTGGGGGGCATTCGGCCAGGTCGGGAATGGAGATCCTGCCAACCTTGGGCTCGGACGTTCCGGAGGAACACATCATTGATCAAACTGTTTTCAGTGAGATGCTGGTATGAAACCAGGCGTTACATAAAGGCAAGTGTGACCATTCTGGCTAGAGAAAGGACTTGATTTGAGGCTCCAGTTGAACCAAACCTCTAGGCCAGCCCTGGGCTTAACCTAATCATCGAATTGAATAAATATCTGAGACACAATGGCTGTTGCAAATTGTGAAGAATTGGTGATGAAGTTGTCTTCTATTTTGCTGGAGGCCAACAAAAGGAGGAGACGTATCATGGTGAATGAAGTGTTTCAGCAGAGTTTCAAGTGGTTGAGTGAAGCAGACCTATCAGTGCACATGCCAGACTCCTTGCCACAAATTATTTCCCTTCTTTTAAAGCTCATGGGTGATGATGTGGAACGATGCCGGGAAGCCTCATCTGCATGCTTGGCAGAGCTGTCTTCGACTATGTGCCTTCCATTGTTACCCCAACTATTAGAAACTCTAAAGATCAGACTTAGAACTTGTGAGACCAGTGATTGGGAGAGTTCAGAGGAAGTGCGTTTGAACATGGTGCACTGTTTGAACAACATTGTGAAGAAGGAGCAGGAAAACATCTTTCCTTATTTCTCAGATGTTGTGGACATCTTGAAAGACACTCTCCAGGATGATTTTCCTGAGGTGCGCTGTATCAGTTGTGAGTGTGTGAGTTCCCTTGCAAGGTCCATCTCAGAAAACTTTCACATGCAGTCTCAATCACTGATTGCACCTCTCCTTAAGAATATCTCTCATTCCCACTCTAAGATTCGCCTGGCTGCTGTTCAAGCCCTTGGTACCAAATCTCCTGCTTTAGTACTTTATTACAATTTAGGTGCTTATATAGAATCAATCCTTCAATAAAACACATTTAATTATTATTTGGAATTATAGGAGATGCAATGGAATATGGGAACCAAAGTTGCATGCCAGATGTGGTTCCACATTGTGCACAACGTCTGTTTGACGGGAATCCTCGGGTGAGGCAGGCTATGTCGCAAGTGAGTGGGAGGTGGCTGAAGACTTTAAAGGATCGCTATGCATATTTTCATCACCTTCTGCCTCTTCTTCTCACAAAGTAAGACTAAAGTAATTTCCATAATTTTGTCTTGCTTTTATCAGGTTGGTTTTAACTTAAACATTGGCTAATTATCTTATAAGATTTGAGCAAGTTTTTGTCACATTTTCAGCATGCCTTTTTGTAATGTGCTTAATATAGTTGGTGGATACCATTGCATGAGATCAAAAGGCAAAATTGAGTGAGCCTACTGAAAAACTGATTGAAATCTCCATTAGGAGGATTTACATAAGTTGGCCTCTTTTGGTTGATGCATTTAGTTCCTATTATGCTTGGTTTTTCTTCATATTTTTTTTAAATATAAAATTTTTTAAAATGAAGAAATGAAGTCAGGCTTTAGCCTGACTTTGCCTCATGGGAAATGCTTGGATGTTGAATGTGCTGAAAACCTTCTGAAACCTTTTGTATGTAGCATTCCTGATAGCCTGATGGATGTAGGCCTGGTAAGAAGCAGTTAGGGTAAAAGGGAAAAACTCAAGCCTGGCTAAAGGGGTGAAGGCTGAGTTGAATGTCTCATTTCATTTCATTTTTAAATTTTACCTCAACCTTCACCATGTTTGAGTTTAGTTGTTTTACCCTAAGTGAAAATAAGTTGAGGCTATTTATGAGTCAAGTCACTCTTCACTAGTTTCAAAGCTTTTCATATGGGTCAGTGGGACATTGCTGCCATCCTTATTATGGGATTGTAAACTTTTATATAAACCATTTTCTATAATCTCATATACCAAGTGGAATATCAGGGTAATCACTATACAGAGTTTGAAGTTTGAAGAAAGATAGTGATGAGAAAAAATGAATGGCAAAAAAGTCTTCATTACTGGTATTGGATTTTCATATAATTGTAAGCACATAAAGCTCCAGTTTTGTCAACACTGGCTGTCATGGCTCCTGACAGAAAGCATACTATGAGGAATTATTTTTATTTATTTATTATTCCATTGGACAGTTCTCTAGATATAGTGCAATCTCTTTGTAATGTTGCCAATTGAATGTCTATCGCCTTCAATAACTATTGGAAGGTAGGAATAGAAACTTTGGGGTTGGGATATTGGGTACATATGCTACTTGCTTCAAGTAAAAAGAGTAATAGGCAGCAAGGGCACCACCATTGACAGTATGTATTGGTGGTGCCCTGTGAGGCAGACAGTTTTAAAGGAGTGACCACCATACTAATGCACCAGACTAAGATTGAATTCATTTAGCATAATTATGAAAATGGTAGGATTGCTGAAGCTACATTCTGGGCATATCATCAAGCAGTCAACATCCAGTGCTGAGCTGGGAGGCTCCATGACACCTGATGCAGAAATTCAAGCAAACCTGCAACATGGCCTAAGTCCCAGAGCATGGATAACATACTGTAGTGGAGGGAATATGGAGGTGCACATGTGCTGGAAGTGTTGGCCAAATGCCACCTTGGTGCAATCAATGCCTGGGAGTTTGCATGCCTCACTGCTCCTCTGATGGTGAGGTGGTGGTGCCTCCACTCCATGCTGCTTCTGTCTCTGGGTACAAGTAATGTATGTACCCAGCACCCTATGTCTCAAGTTTCTGTTTAATCCACTCGATATTTTTTTTTAGGAAATTGCCATTTAACAATAAATTTTTACAAATGAGTCACTTTGTATGTACCCGTCATAGGCTTATTGTCTCATGCCCAGCTTCGCCCTACTACCCTATTTGCTTATTTTCCTATATCATCTGCAATCTTTCTGCAGTCATCAACCATTGGTCAGCATACTTCATGCTTCTCCAGTCAGGTTGTAAGGTTACCTGCTGTGAAAGTATCCTTAGAAGGAATGCTTCCAATATATCTACACATATTAACATAATTTGTCTAATTTGTTTTTGTTTTTTTTTGTTGTTGAGCAGTTTGGAAGATGAAGTTCCAACTGTTCAAGAGGAAGCTTCTCATTTATGGAGTGAGGTGGGTTTACAATATCTCTCTGAAAATGAAGATGAATTCAAGGAGCAGCTAGCATTTCCTACTTCACCTGAGAGAGGTTAGTTGAGTCCATAGTATTAAAAAATAATCCTCACAGGGGGGAGAGGTGAGTGTTTCATCAGTGCAGCCAGTGGATTTTCTGAATAGACATTTTTAAATGCTTGTAACTCTGCATTGTCTGGATTATTTGCAGTCTAAATTAGCATGTACATCCATGCACTCATTTGAAAGATAGAGGGATTTCTAAAGTGGCCCCTAATTTGTTGGTCCATAATGTAGGATGAAAATTGTATGGTATATTGTTCCTGTCAAGATCATGTGCTCATTCCAACCCTATCCCTTTATCCCTTTTAGTCCTAGCAGGACTTAGGAGTCCTGCATTTTATTTGCATATGTTATAGGATTACACAGGATTGCATGACATTGAGGCCTGGTATATAGTGGTTCACCTCATGTTGTCAAGTTGACAGCAGTCCACAGTAATATGAAATTGCTGTATTTCCTCCAGCACTTCAAAAATGGTGTCAACTTTTGCATTTATTTCAGCCGATACATTTCTTTCCCAGCCAATTTGTATCATGTTTTTGCAAACTAGATAATGGAAAGTAGTACAGGAATACTGGGAAACATACAATGTAAAATAGGGATATGAGTACCATCTGAACTAATTAAATATAATTTTATTAATTAATAACAAATTTTTAAAAATAATTTAATAAATATTAATTTTACTTAAGAAAACCATTTTAAAAAGAATTTTATTTTATATGAGCCTTGTTGAAGCCCAAAAAGTATATGACATTTTTTCAATGCCTAGAACATAATTTAGGACTGAAAGGGTTAAACCACTTAAACTTCAATTTACTATGTCGCTAAGTCGCTAATTATCAGTGTTACACACACTCCCATTAGGTTTTAGTGGGGGAGCAAAAGATACTCTTTGCCCCCCCTGCTGGAAAAGTGAGGGGGCATTTGCCACCCTTGCCCCCCTGGTTCCGACGCCTATGGTGGGAGGATTTATTGTTCACAGACATTTTTGTTACTTCAGTTTTGAAAAGTTATTGCCATTGAATTACTGTTTCAGATTTTCTTAAACTTGGCTGAAATCTCTCTTATTCATCTAAGATTTCATGTGCTGGAAAATGTAGGCATGTAAAATTAGGATAGAGATACTTGAAAAAATTAAGTGGTGTCCTTTTTTTGTTGTTGAGACATAGCATATAATGGCATGTTGATTGAGAGTTTTTACCCAAAGAAAATCTTGAGTTTTGAACCAGATCTCTTCAAATTTTCAGGGGAGGGGGATACTTGGAACCTGGGTTGCCAAATGCTAGTTGCTCGCAGCTTGGGCAAGCTTCTGCCAGCAGTGACTAGAGACCTAGAGGACTGGCAACCTGATACCAGGAAGAAATCTGCTATATTATTATATCTTCTATTATGGAATGTAGGTGATAGGATGACCATGCACCTTCTGCCCATTTTAAATGCCATCATCAGGGGATCCGGTGACTCAGATCTTTCTGTCCGCAAACATGTGGGTCTCTATAAACCTTACTTTTATGTATTAGGTCATTAGGTATGAAATGTCAGATTTTTGGTCATTTTGGCTGAAATTTTCATACCACCTGCGAATAGTCCATTCATTAGTATCTGATTGGAAAGAAAGTTCTCGGAATTTCTTGAATATCCAGTACAATTTTTTTCCAGAGCATGCTAGAATGTTCTGCATGTGTTTATAAGTAGGTCGTGTCCTTCGGCATACAACCGTATATTATTACAGCCCTGGTGCTCTCCAGCCATGAACCAGCCCTACCCTCTTACTAAGGAGCAAGTTCGCCTGCTTCTCCTTTATGACTTCCGAATCAAGAAGAAGGCAGCCAATTCCATCGCTGACATCAATAC